CCCGCGGGAGGCCCTCGGAGAGGGCCTGCAGCGCGTCGGGTTCCGTTCCTTCCGCTCGCAGGGCTCGTTTCGATGCCTTCGACTCGATTCGATTTGACTTCTCGATTGCTTCCGATTCCGAGTCGCTTCGATGTGGGATTCCGATGTGGGCTCCGATTTGTCTCCCCGGAGGTCTCTACTGTCCTGCCGGTGTCCGCCGATTCGACTTCTCCAGACTCGGCGGTCGGTTTCCGCCGATCCGATGCACTTCGGTCGCCGACAGGACTTATCGATTCGATTCCGGGCTCGCCTGCGCTCGAGGAGTGGCGCAGAGTCCTGGTTTGCCTATAGGCTCACCTGAGGGGCAACGATAGGGGGGGATAGGCATAGGGGGGGATGCATCGACCCCCAATCGCCCATTGATCGCGGATAAGGGCCCGATAGCCCCAACCAGCCCAGGAAGATGCGGATTCACTATCGGAGGCCTATCGCCGATGTATCGGCGATGTATCGCCGATTCCAGTTCGATGCATCCCCCCTATGCCAGTCCCCCCCTATCGTTGCCCCTCACCACCAGGGAATGTTCTGAGAAGTTGGTTTGTTTGTGGTCTGAGGCCATCTCGTTTTAACACGTCGGGCTCGCGTTCGAAGGACATTGTTTTTTTTATGAAAAAGTTGTTGTGCTCTAAGTACTTGTCGTGATAGGCCTATAGGAATGCCCGGACGGTCGATCCCTGCTCAATCTTCGGCCACGCGCAGAAGGGGACAGGGGAAGAGGGGAAGGCTTCGTCGAAGCACCACTGCTTCTTAGAAGGCGCGGGCCTGATCTGTAGACGTAACGCCCGCGTCTAAGAAGCAGCTTGCTTCCCCATGTCCCCCTGCCCCCTTGTGCGCGCCGCCAACCTCCGTTACCGCGGATGCCGTGGTCCCCTCAGATCCGGGCGCTGCTGCAGTTTCCAAAAACGTTTCGCTGAAAAGTCGTAACGGAGGCAAGCGAGGACCACAGAACAAGGCGATAGTCTTCGATTTGGAGCCTTGTTCCCCGAAAGACGAGGGGGTGGAAAGAGAGAGGAGGCAGAACGAGGGAGGAGGCGGAAAGAGGGAGGAGGAGGAGGAGGAGGAGGAGGAGGAGGAGGAGGAGGAGGAGGAGGAGGAGGAGGAGGAGGAGGAGGAGGAGGAGGAGGAGGAGTAGAGAGTCCCACGTGTGGAAGGGGAGGAGCCCTGGACCGTCCAGATTTCTGCAGCCGCTCCGCTGCAGACATCCCCGCAGAGTACCTCGTACAACAACGGCTGCTTGCCTGGCCCAGAAGGCCACGACCCCGTGTACGGTTGGTTCGCGCGGCGTTGACGCGCTGGCGACGTCAGCGAAGGCGTTAAAGGTTGAACTCTGCGACACGGAAGCACCGATGGGCACGGTACTGGACTCAACCTTGAATGATCGGGGCCGCGATCGATTCAAGATTGAACGATCGACGCGATGTAAAAAACGCCGACGCCGCACGAACCTACCGTAACAGGATACATTGAGATGCACGTGGTCGTGCTCTCCTTCTTGTCCCGCCACGTTTTCTCCAGCCGAACTCTGCTGTCCGACGCGCCTCTTTACCTTTTCGCTACTATTAGGATGCTTTGCTGGGCTATTATGAGGATGCTTTGTCGGGCTACTCTTCCCAAGCGGCGGGTTTGTCCAGCTTCTTTTGGGTTGGCGCCCTCTTGGCGGCTTCCTCAGTTTGTGGCCTGGCCCACTCGAATTATCTGGCATCGCTCGCGCCCCTTTGCCGTTGATTGACACGCCCTCTGGACTTTTCCTTGCGGGCCGCCGAACAAACAAAAAAACATGTCCAGCTTCGGCCCCTTGGGCCATCTCGGATCGATCCGGCCAGATGAATGACGCAGCAGGTTTGGATGTAGGGTTCCCGTCATGGTTTTCTCCGAGGGTGCATTTGTTTCGCCCCCTTGGGCCGCGCACGTGCCGCTGGCCATGATTTGCACCCCCCCCTCTTGGACACCCCCCTATTGGCCGCCCCCGATTGAGACGGGGGTCAATGCAAACGGGAGTCAGCCAGAGCGCCCGATCTTGCAGGATCCTGCAGGGCCAGGGTCGCATTGACCCGGGCTTGGGTGCAGGATCCTGCAGGAGTTTTCGCATTGGCCCGGGCTTGGGTGCAGGATTTTGCGGGATCTTCCAAGGTTCTGCAAGGCCTGACTGACCTGGGTCTGGATTGACTCGGGTCAGAAGATCCCCGATTGTCCCCCAGACATGTTGCAGTTGTGAGCCCGTCAACGCGCTACTCCTTTGTGTTCGCACGAAGGAGCGATGCCTCCTCAGCATGGGAGACGCTGAAGTGTCCCCACGGTGGTGCTTGACTGACACACGCTTCTTTCTTGCCTACCGTTGCCCTCTTCCTCGTTGGCCGGAGTTTCCGCACCACCTAAAGGATCAATCCCCCACGACACACCTGTGCGAAACAGATCATCTCTAATACTGGCATCACCCCATATGTTTGCCGATCTTCCGAGTTGCATCCGTATTCTTGGGCGCATCCCTAGTAAGTTTTGAATTGTCTTGCGCTTGTCAATCTGAGGGATGGAGATAAGCTCGAAGCTGGTCAAGGACCCCAGGACGTTGTACTTAGCATATGTACATTCTCAGGGCGCCCCCAGAGAGAACACGTCAGAGGCGTGTGCTTTTGGAGGCCCACCCGCCTCTCGTGGATCAGCGCTGGGCCTCCCTTCCCCCAGGAGGGGGGGGGAGAGGGGCCCCAGGAAGAAACGCAGACCGAGCGGGTTGCCCCCGCATTCTCCCCCAGGTGCCCGGCTGCGTCCACCCAGGATGGGGTTCGGGCGGCGGGGGCGGCAAGGGGGGCAGTGGGACGTCTCGGGCCAGTCCTCCTCCCCCTCCTTCCCCGCCTCCTGTAGCCAGTAGACTGCGAGGGCTGGCGGCTGCTGCAGCTCGTTGCCTTTGGCTGCAGCTTTTCCACTGCCAGGTTCCGCGAGCCCGCATCACTCACCCTCCCTCCCTCCCTGTCTCCCTCCTCAGTCCTCTCTCCGTGCCTCCTTTCTGCTCCATGTCTCCCTAGTCCACTCCTCCCATCCTTTTGTCTACGTGCATCTGCCCTTACTCCATCATCCCTCCATCCCGTCTTCTCTCTTCTCCCCCCCTAACCTCCCTGCTCCCTCCCTTCTTCTCGGCCTCCCGCTCCGCCACATCCATCTCTCCCCGCATCCATCCGTCCCTCACTGTCCCTCCCTTTCCTCCTTCCATCCCTATCCTTTCCTCGCTTCTCCCTCCTCCCCGTCTCCTGCCTACGCTACTCTTCCCACTCGCATTGTTCATTTCCCCATTACCTTCATATATCATCCATCCATCACCCATCCTGTCTCTTTCACCTCCCCCTTTCCGGGGCCAGCTTCTGCGAGCCATCAGCCCCAGGACTCGTCATGTTTTCATTGCCAAAGGTCTCGGGTTCCACTGCAGTTTTTCCATTGCCAAGTTAAGCTTGCCTGCAGGAGTGGCGTCGCTGCCGGATGCCAGACTCAAGCCCTCTTCTGCCCCTCCGCCTGCCCCGACGAAAAAGTTTCGTCCACCCTGGGAGAGAGGGGGGGCGGCGCAAGAGAAGTTCCCGACTGCCCTCTCATGGTTGCCGCTCGCGCCAGCCTGGCTGCCGCTATTACCGCTGTTGTTGTTATCACCCTCGTCGCAGTGCACGTGCTGTTGCTGTTGCTGCTATCACTGCTGTTGCTGTTGCTGTTCGAAGCACGCGTGGGTCGAGGGGGCGGCGGGGAGGAGGTCGGCGGGTGGGGGGGTCGGGGGGCGGGGCGGGTCGGGGGCGTGCTCGGAGGTCGGGCGGGCGGGGGAGTTTGGGTCGGGGGTGGGCGGGTCGGGGGGGTGCGGCAGGGGCCCTCCCGACGTGAGAAGGGGGGGGGCAGGTCTGGGGCATGGTAGGGGGTCGGGGGATGCAGCCGGGGGCGGTGAGGGCGTCGGAGGGCGCGGCGGGAACTCTCGGGCGGGGGGGCGGAGGGGTCGGGGGGGGGCGAGGGGGGGGGGGGTGGAAGGGGTGCGCGACGGGGGGGGGCGTAGAAGGTCCACTGGAGTCGCGGCCCGCTCCGGACCGCGTCGGACCGCCTCTTGTGAGGGCGATGCCATCTCGAAGCGGCCTGGTGCCCACAGATCCCCTCCGCCCCCCCTGCTGGCTTCGCCTGGCTCGCTTCTTGTGGACCGCGGCAGCGCCCGCGATCCCGCGGCGAATCGTGGTCATCGCATGTGTCAATATTTGTGAGTAGTGGTTACAGCATTGACGCAATGGCGTTTAGTAGCGATTCGACAACAGCGGTGATTCGCGGCAGTTGGCGTAAGACTAGGTTTCGAACGTTTACCTTGCCACAAGCAGGAACGATACCGCACAAGATCATGCATTTTGATTGCGAGAGGGGTGCCGTGCCATGTCCGCCCCGTACCGGGGTCCGCGTGCGAAAAGAGGTTCCGTGCCGTGCCGTGCGCGCTCCACATGTCCCGCTGGAGATTCAGAATGCGAGAGGGAGGCGCCGTGCGCGTAACGGGCCGTGCCCGAATCCCGGAATGCGCCGTGCTGCTCTGTGCCGCGCCGCGCCGTGCTGTGCCGTGCTGTGCCGTGCCGTGCCCGTGACGTGCCCGGTTTTCAGGCGCCGTGCGTCTGCTGATGCACCGTGCATGCTTCGGGCCACGCCAAGAAGCAAGAGGACAGAGAACGTGGATTACCGGCTTGGAGGACTGATATCTGAGTCAACAGGACGGGGCAAGGACGAGGACACATCCGTTCCAGAGTTGCAGGATCTCAGAGACTCCTCGATTCATCCCTCGAACTTATCCGCGTCCTGGCTTTGTCTTGGGCGAGGGGAGGAGGAATGAGGAAACCGAGGATGAAAACGACGAGGACAGCGATTAGGACGACGGCGGCGGCGGCGACGGCAGCGGCGCCACGACAGCGACAATATTAGCGGCGGCGAAGACGAGGCCCCGTGCCCGGCCCCTTGGCGGGCAGGTCGTCTTCAAGGCCCAGGAGTACGGCCTGAACGTCATGGACTGGCGGCCCAAGGTCGGCGCCGAAAACCTCGAACTTGGAGGTTCGAGGTTTTCGGGCGTTTTCGTCGGTTCTCGGCGGTGTTCTAGCCTCGGGACGCTTGCCAGCAGCTGCGCCTCGCCGAGGGCGTTCCAGGGGTGCCCCGACCGTCCCAAATGCCCAAACAGCCGCTTGAGACCCAAGTTATGACCCAAGAACCAAATTCGACGGCGTGCGACGGGGGGAAGTAAGAATGAGAAGGCCTTATCAGAAGGCGGCGGGGCTTCTCCGAGGTCCTCGCGCCTTCTGATGGGTTTTCTGTGTCTTCGGGGAAGGTTTAGAACACTTCTCCAAAGGCCGTTGGACTTCCGAGCCTGCTGAGCAGGACCGCCCCTTCTCCCTCCACCCCCCGGGCTCGCCGCTGACGAGGCCGTCGTGCCCATCGTGACGTTCGAGGCGCCGCGTTTCGCTGCCGTCGCCGCCCTGTCCCTCCTCCTGCCTTCTTCCCTGCCTGGTTCCCTGTTGTGCCTCCTCCTCCACCTCCTCCTCCTCCTCCTCCCCCTCCTCCTCCTCCTTCTCCTCCTCCTCCTCCCCCTCCTCCTCCTCCTCCGCCTTCGCAGCCACCTGAGGCGGAGTCCGATGATCACATCAGCGCCTCTCTTAAAGAGTCGGCCCAGGCGAGAGCAACTCTCCCCTGACCCCTGACCCGACACCTTCCACAAGCTCTGGGTCAGTGGGCACAAACTGCAAAATTGAAAGGGGCCTAGTTCGATCCAGCTCGACGGTATAGCCACCCGTTTCCTGGCAACCTCGACCGACGAACCCCGCGGGCAGTCGTCGGCCGTGTTGTCGGGAAATGGACAACATGGCCGAACCGTCAAGCCTCCTTCTCATCAAGCCACAGCTTGACACCTGTGGGCTTCTTACCCTGATCAATCTGATTCAGGGTCATTTTCCCCTCCGTGCTAAGCCCTGGGACGCAGGGGTTAGCCAACTTCAAGAAACGGGTGCTGCCTTGCGCTGCGCATGCTCCGCAAAACCACAGGCCGCGAGATTGCTCTAGTCGATGCGAGCCGTGGATCGCGAAAGGCTTCTTTTCACATATCGTCTCACGAAATCGGACAGGCCTGCTTTGCTGGCTGATATTAAACAAAACTTGCACTTGAAACCTTTGTTGGTTGGCTCTAAAACATGGGTGGTCCCACGGGTCGCCACCGCACGGGCCTCACATTGGGCCTTGGCATTGTGTGTCTTCCTGGCGGCAACGTCCCTTTTGAGAGTGGTTCCGTACACATCTGAGGCCTTTTTGGCCACCTCTAAACCGATTGTTATGAGCCTCTTCTGGACTCTCCATGCTAACTTGTCTGCCTCTCTTACCTGGAATACTAAACCAAAACGGGGGGCCACCTCCTTCGCCGCAAGCTCCGCGCGCGTGTCGGCTTCGGTGTTGGCGAACCAGTGCATCTCACTGATCGAGACTCCTATCTCCGCCTCCCCCAAATGGCTTTCCACATTACAGTACGAAAATCGGCCCTCTCGGGCCTGCGTCTCTGATCAAAACTCGACCCATAGGTCTGCATTATAACGATGGACTTCAGTGGGTCCCTGGTGGATCCCTTTGATAGCATGACTGGCATCTATTACTACTGTGGCATCACCAGCGTTTGACTGTAAGGCTCGAATTGCCGCTAGCAATTCAGCTTGCGGTACTGTCTGTCGGGGTCCTGCTACACTACCTCGCTTAGCCGCCTTGACCTCCTTACCGACACAGACGACGAACGACCCTCCTCCTCCTGCTCCTCCCCCTCCTCCCCCCTCCGCCCCCCCTCTTCCCCCCCCCCGCATCCTCCTCCTCCCCCTCCTCCTCCTGCTCTCCTCCCCCCCTCCCTCCTCCTCCTCCTCCCCCTCCTCTTCCTCCTCTTCCTCCTCCTCCTCCCTCCTCCCCCTCCCCCTCCTCCTCCTCCTCCTCCTCCTCCTCCTCCTCCTCCTCCTCCTCCTCTGCACGGCGTTCAGGGCCTGCCCGCCCTCTGTGCCCGCGGTGGGCACCCGACCCGTCTCGCCGAGGCCGGGCGCCCCACCCCCGGCCTCGGCGTGTCGGGGCGGCGCAGGGGGAGGTGCTGCACGAACGAGATGGGCACGGAAAGATGTGGGAAACATGGGCAGTGGGGAAGCATGGGGAAGCCTGTTATAGTTGTGTCTCTATTCGTTTGTGTCTCCCAGGTCCCTTTGGTCCTCCCTCGCCGCCCTCGGGCGCCGAGAAGGCCCCCCTGGCCGGGAGCCGGAGAAAAAAAGAAAGGGCGGCGCGCCGCGGGGTCGGCACGAACGAAATGGGCACGGAATGAATGGGTACGATGCCTAACAGCAGTTCCTGTTCATTTTGAACAGGATTCGCTGTCCACGCCGCCGCGGCCTGTGTCCACTTGAGACAGAAGGCCGCCTGCCCAACAGCGACCGCTGTTGGGCATTGTACCCATTCTTTCCGTGCCCATTTCGGGCGTCCAAAGAGGTGCCTCGGGCGGGGGGGGACCAACACAAGCACAGTTCGGACCGGACGAAAGGGGGGGACGTCAGAAACCCTGCGACGGGCCAGCTCCACGCAACAGTTTCGTCTGCAGGGGTGCCCGACGTGAAGGCCGCGGCACGGGGTGCGCACGAGGCCTTCGAGTCTGGATGCTGGAGTGACGTTCCGGCCCGCGCTCGTGGCCACGTCCTGTTCCGTGCCGCTCGCATGCTGCGCGGTGCTCTGCCCGAGCTCTCTCGGGCCGGACGAAAGGGGGGGATTGGGAAAGGGGGGGTTACGAAATCTGCTGCATGCAGCTGGTTTCGGCCCCGCCGCGGGGCCCATTCCTCGATGCATGGGCGCCTTCTGGCACCGGGAGGCGCCAGGAAAATCAGCTATGCGAGCTGATTCTCAAACCCCCGCTTTGCTAAGCTATCCCCCCCTTTCGCCCGACCCGACTCAGGGGGGGGGGAACCAACACCGACACAGCGAGACGCCGATGCCCAGGAAAACATGGGAAAACGTGGACAGCGTAGGGGAAGACGAAGGCCCAGCAAACATGGGAAAAGGTGGAAAGGGGAGGTGTCTTTCCAGAGGGTCAGCAACACAAACACAGCGAATCGCCGATGCCCAGGAACATATGGGAACACATGGCTAGTGGGGGAAGACGAAAGCCCAGAAAATATGGACAAAACATATTATGGGGAGTCCTGGGATTTGTTGCTATCTGTTGGTATGTCCCAGGACCCCTGCAGTGTCCCGGGGCCAGTGCAGAGCGGAGCTTCGCGCGCCACCGTGGCGGAGGACCGTTGAGGCCAAGGGAGAACATCGAGGAACGACGAGGATGAAGTCAGGAGAAAGACTCCAGAAGTAGTCACAAAAGTACTCAGGTGACGATTTTCCGATCATTTCTGTTCATTTCTGAATCTGGTTTGACAATTCCGTTTTTTCGTCCAGAGTCCGCCCGCGGGAGGACATGCCCGATCTAAGACGAGGAGGAGGGCGAGGACCAGGGCGAGTTGGCGCTGCGGCCCCTCCAGCCAGGGTGGGCGCAACGTCCACAGGACCGGGGTGAGAGTGGGAAAGCCCGGGATGAGAAGATAATTACTTTGGCTTGAATTTGACAAAAAGCTATTCTCTTTTACCACTTGTGTAATACTTCTGGATTTCATTTTCTAAAAGATATAACCATTCTGCATCAGTCCCTGCGGGAGACACGCAAGCGGACGTCGTCAGGTGTTGCGCGCCCTTGTGGAAGGAACCCGCCGGGTCCCGGCCGCCTAGCGGTCACCACGCTGGGCAGGATCTGTGGTGCACCCCTGGGGGCCATCTGTAGGCTGCCCTGGGCACTTCTGGGGGCCGCCCCAAGGCCGTCTATAGGCCCACCAAACAATGTTAAAATCACCTCGTGTGCTTTCTACGAAATGTTCTTCGAACATTTCTGGCTGGGACTGTTTTGTTTCAGTACATCGGTTCGATATTATAAGAACATTTGTTTTGGTCTTAGAGCATTCTGGGTTCTAAGAAAAATTCGTTGTAGGCCTATAGGAATGCCGGGACGGTCGGTCCCTGCTCAACCGTAGGCCCCCGAGGAGCAGGAGAGGCAAGAGATCCAGAATCGGCCAAGACCGACGCGGCGTCACATGTTCCAATGGTTTGTCTTTTCCCCCAGGCAGAGACTCAGCGCCAGGGGCGCGCTGGGCTCGAAGGGCAGCGTTTTTCCCAACCATCCTGTGGTGTTGGGTCCTCGTTTTGAAGAGACGGTGGCCCGCGTCTCCCCTCCTCTCCTCTCCTCCTCCTCCTCCCCTCCTCGCCCATTTCGGTACACCCCTCACACGGTTTCGTGGCCCCATAGGGAGCTCCACCGAAGGCCCCAGTGGCCGCGTTCGCATGGCGGCCTCGGGCCATTTCGGCACACCCCTCACGAGGATCGTGGCCCCATAGGGAGCTCCACCGAAGGCCCCAGTGGCCGCGTTCGCATGGCGGCCTCGGGCCATCTCGGCACACCCCTCACGAGGATCGTGGCCCCATAGGGAGCTCCACCGAAGGCCCCAGTGGCCGCGTTCGCATGGCGGCCTCGGGCCATTTCGGCACACCCCTCACGAGGATCGTGGATAGGGAGCTCCACCGAAGGCCCCAGTGGCCGCGTTCGCATGGCGGCCTCGGGCCATTTCGGCACACCCCTCACGAGGATCGTGGCCCCATAGGGAGCTCCACCGAAGGCCCCAGTGGCCGCGTTCGCATGGCGGCCTCGGGCCATTTCGGCACACCCCTCACGAGGATCGTGGCCCCATAGGGAGCTCCACCGAAGGCCCCAGTGGGCGCCCCAGTGGCCGCGTTCGCATGGCGGCCTCGGGCCATTTCGGCACACCCCTCACGAGGATCGTGGCCTCCACCGAAGGCCCCAGTGGCAGCGTGCGCATGTCGGCCTCGGGCCATTTCGGCACACCCCTCACGAGGATCGTGGCCCCATAGGGAGCTCCACCGAATGCCCCAGTGGCAGCGTTCGCATGGTGGCTCGGGTCATTTCGGCACACCCCCCATGCGGATCGTGGCCCCATAGGGAGCTCCACCGAAGGCCCCAGTGGCAGGGTTCGCAGGGCGGCCTCGGGCCATTTCGGCACACCCCTCACGAGGATCGTGGCCCCATGGGGAGCTCCACCGAAGGCCCCAGTGGCCGCGTTCGCATGGCGGCCTCGGGCCATTTCGGCACACACCTCACGAGGATTGTGGCCCCATAGGGAGCTCCACCGAAGGCCCCAGCCGCAGCCTCCCTCATGGCTCTCTGAGCCCTCTCCTGCTTCTGCTCCTCGGTCAGGGGGATGCCGTCCTCGTCGTCGTCGTCGCCCGCGAAGACGGCCACGAACGTGCCCCTGAACATGTCGGGCTCGGGCGGGAAGTTGTGGCCGCATCGGGAGCGCGGGCGAAGATGTGATTCGCAAGTGCGGTAGTCACAACTGCGCATGGTTGGGTCTTCCGCCAGGCTAATTTGTTTTGGCGCCCGCCCCTGGGGCTGAGCCTCTCTTGCGGCAATGCTTGTTTTGTTGTGTGGTGGGCATGCCTCTGGGGGGCATTTGTTTTATGGGCGATCAGGCTGCTCAGTGCTAGAACATGTCTAGCACCGCTGACTGTTCCGAGGTCCTCCTGGAGGAGAGACCAGGGCGCAAGGAAGGGGCGGAAGATGCCTGCGTGGAGAAGGCCCTCTCGTTCTCTTTCTGTTTATTTCTCTCTCTCTCTCTCTTACTCTCTTTCTTTTGTTCGCTCTTGTTTTCTCTTGCTCTCTCTGTCTGTCTCGCTGGCTCTCTCTCTCTCTCTCTTTATTTATTTCTGTCTCTCTCTCTCTCTCTATCTCTCTTTTGTTGGAGTGACAAATTGCCATACGTTCGGTTATCCTCGCCATCCTCCTTGTTATTCACTTCCCGCTTCGCAGCGTTACGGAATCGGTGCGCCGCCGAATCCGTACGCCACGAATGCGGCCGAGGATGGTGACGAAGTTTGGGTCAGAGCGCGCTCGGGACAGGTTGGGAGGGGTTAGGGGGAGCCCCGCATCATCTTCTGCCTGTTCCAGCCCCGCTCGCCTGGTCGCCCACCTTCCCGGAGATGGTGATCGAGGAGAACGGCAAGAACGTTTCTTCCGGGTACACGTGCGACGTGTGTTGGATGTACCCCCGCCCGCCAAATATACGGTTATTTCATTGTTTGTTTGTTTCCCTGCACACATGGGGAATACAGTGGAGACCCACGCCAAGAAACACCCTGCTTGCCTCCAGGGTGCCCTGGGCTGCTTGGGGTTCGATAGTCTTGCGATGGAAATCGTGACGCTCCCACACCAAACACCAATGGACGTGCTTGTGGGGTCTCAGGGTCGGGTTCCTTGTGGAAGATGTCTTGTGGTCGTTCTCCTCATGTACATACGCTGATGCGTACGCTCGCCGTGGGGCACAGCTACATCCCGCTGACCTGGCTGCTATATATATAAATATATATAGAGCGTTTGTCCCGCTCCTGTGCAGTAGTCGAGCATATGAGCATACTTGTGGCTCGCACGGCCGCCTGAACCATCGAGAAGCTTCAGGGTATCCCCTGCCGGGCCCCTCCTCCCTTTCTTTCAGAAGAGGGCACGGTACCCATACCGCAACCTTTCCCTAATGATTCTTCTTGTTGGGGCCTCCTGGGCAGCCCTCGTCGCCACCGCAGGATTCGCATCGAATTCTTGGTCAGAAAGCACCCCGGGACAAGTCTGGGGAGTCGCGGTATCGGTTCCTTTCGGTCTCCTCATGGTAGTCCTCCCTCGAGGTGGGCCTCGTGAGCTGTTCCGGGGCCAAGACGTGCAGCGTTTCCGATGCGTGGCGTGCTGGTCGTCTAGTCGCTACAAGCTCGTCTTGGCGACAGCCCCTCGTGGTACGGGGCATGTGGTTTTCAAGACGGGCATGTACATGTTCTGTATGTGATGTGGTTCGTACTCGTCCACACACGTAGCTCTCCTGGCGGTAAGTTGCCAACTGAAGGCGGCCTTTGCCACAGGCCGTGATCGTGTTGGGCGCCCGGTCGGCGGACTTGACCCGAAGCGAAATGTCTCCTTGGGCCGGGTAGCCCCCGCTACCCTCAGGATGTACACTGAATTTGAGGTTCCCACTGCATTGGACGCCAGTTTACCAACGGCACCATATCTTTAGTGCGCGCAGCGTATAGCCGCGGACGCCGATTGTTACCGTGATGACTGTCACCATGCCTAGTGATGGGGCAAGGGAGCCCGGGCCACACTTTGTCGCTGCATGCTGGGTCCTGTCCGACCGTCGTCGGCGTGATTACGTTCGGGCGCATTCGCCCCCGTGCCCGCTTTGGTTCCATACCCCTTTGCACTGTTTGTTCTACCCCTTCTCTTCTCGGGCTCGTCTCTTGGGACGCAGGCCGAGCCATGCCCTGTGCTCCCTTCCTTCCTTCTACCCCTGCGACGAGCCGGCGGCGACTTTGTGACGAGGACGGCGCCGAGGATTGCGGCCGCGACGACGGTGGCCGCTGTGACGCCGACGGAGACGACGGCGAACGTGTTCCACAGCCGTGTCCGCTCTGGCCGCGTGGGGTGAAGGCACGTGCTCCCGCAGTACAACACGCGGCTGCTGCGCTGCTACTCGGAGCTCATGCCCGAGCTGGCGCCGCTCGTGGTCGCCGTCAAGCGATGGGCCAAGGCGCCTGCAGGGGTCGCCCAGGTCATGATGTTCCACCCTACTTTAGCCTCGACCATTGGAAAGAACTTCGAGCGCCAAAAGAGATCATTTCTTTATTGTTTGGGGCATGGCGGGCGTCATGGCTCCCGCCCCCCCCCTATGACGTAACGTTCCCCCCCCAGTGCGCTCCGGGCACTGCCGCCGTGCGCATTGGGATCCGCGTAGGAGTCCGCATAGGAGTCTGGTCCGCAATCGTTCTCGTCGACGTCGTCGTCGTCGTCGTCGCTCGTGGCTCGTGGTTCGTGGCTCGTTGCTCGTCGCTCGTCGTCGTCGTGCGCGCGGACGCGGCTGGAGCCTTTTTTTATAGATTCCGGGCCGATGACGGCAATCATCTGGGGGGTTGGAGGGGGTCGGTGGCGTCATGTCGCGCCGGCGGCGCTTGGGAATGCCGAGGAATGACGGAGGACGGGTGGCGCCAGCATGTAGGTGGCGATCTTCACCACAACGCCTGTGTACACTTCAGTGCCTTCGTGCACTTCAGGTCCTGTGTACACCACACCGCCTATGTACACCACAGCAGCCGCGTGCAACACAGCGTCAGTTTGCGCCACCGCGCGCGCATGCACAACAGCTCTTGTGTACACCACAGCGCCTGCGTACACCACATCAGCCGTGTGCAACACAGCAGTGTACACTACAATGCTTGCGTGCATTGCAGTGCCTGCGTACACCACGGCGCTTGTGTGCACCACAGCAACCGTGTTCAACACAGCACCACTGTTGGATGTAGAATGTTAGAAGCAATCACTATGACAAAATGGAGCGTTTGTGGATTTCATCGAAAACGCCAGAACCCCTATAGACAAGGAGGCGCCAGAGGAATCTACGAGTCTTTCCGAGTTCGCCCGCACCACCGTAACTCCTCTCATCTGCGTCCAGGAGGCTCCAGCTAAATCGGCCGTCCAGTGGGCCGATTCAATCGACCATTCTGCGGTGCACGCTGAGTTTCGCACGTGCGCTGTAGCGCCAACCCGCACGACAGAGGGTATGGAGGAGGAGGGAGATGATGATGATGATGATGAGGAGGAGGAGGAGGAGGAGGAGGGGGAGGAAGAGATTTTGGAGGAGGAGGAGGAGGTGGAAGTGAAGGAAAACGGAAGAGGGAGAAACGTCGCATTCGAGTGTCAGCATATTCCTAGCGTGGTGCTTCCGCAGCATATCCTCACGTAGAGGTTCCTTCTACCTGTCCGATGCACGCACGCATTGTGGTGTGCAGTAGCGCTGCCTTGCCCGCGGATGCTGTGGCGTAGACAGTCGCTGTGGCGTGCACAGGCGCCGCGGTGCACGCAAGCATTGTGGTGTACAGAGGCGTTTTGTTGCACATGTTTGCCTCCGGTGTGCACATATACACCGGCTCTGTAGTGTACGCAAGCATTGCAGTGTACACAGGCGCTGCGTTGCACACCTTTGTTGCGATGTGCGCAGGCGCTGTGGTGTACATGCGCGCTGTGGTGCACGCGAGCGCTGTGGTGTACACAGGCGCAGGGGGGCAGATCGCCACGTACATGCTGCTCGCGTCGTCGTCGTCGTCCTCGTCGTCGTTCTCGTCGCTTGTCGCTCGTCGCGTCGTGCGCGGGGGCGCGGCTGTGGTGCTGGATCCATATGGCGGGGGGGGGGCGTTACGTCATACCTCCCCCCTCGCCCCCCCCCCCATGACGCCCGTCATCGCCGAACATAAAAAACGCCCTCAAAAAGAACCGAAACTTGAGGGTTTTCACGTGTCGGACCCTGGGAGGCACTCGTTCGACACTGCTTCGACACTGTTTCGACACTTTTTCGACATTCTCCAGGTGCTCGAAATTATGTCTGGGATTTGGTCCTCAGTACGAATGGACCAACATAACGCCCAGGGCACCTTCGGGTCGCCCCCCAGCACTCTGCGGCGCCTTCGGCGCTCCTTGTGACCCCTGGCCAAGGCTGTCCCATGGGACTGTTCCGTGGGATGCTTCGCGAGGATTTCCATGGGTTGTCTCGCTGTCGCCCCGTGGGGGATCCAGACCATCATGTCAAGCTGTTTGCGATCCAGATACCCGTATGCCCCCGATAATAAAGCATACCCGCCTTCCCACCAACCTCATGATTATCTCCGGCCAAGACACTTTCGGTCTGCGGTCGGGAACGGCGGGTCATATCTTCACCATCGCCGTGGAAAGTATCTCCCGTAGATGGAACTTCCCCACCATGAGTAGCAGTATCACCATCATCAGATTGCTGCTGCTGGTGCTGCACCAGAGGAGTACCGCTAGTATCGCTACACCAGACTGTTACGGCTACGGCGAATACGACGATCGTTCTCACTATGGCCCCGCTCTTGCGGGCTGCTCTGGTCAGCGGTGCGGCAGCGGGCCCTTCGCGCGCGCGGGCCGAGGATGCACGGGGGTCTTCGGAGCAACAGATCGAGGAGGTCTGAGCAGCAGGAGCGAGTAGGGGAGGAGGAGGAGGAGGAGGAGGAGGAGGAGGAGGAGGAGGAGGCGGAGGAGGGATGAGGGATGAGGAGGGTTGAAGGAATGGGAGAAGGTCGGAGGGGAAGGGAGGGGGGGTGAATCGCAGAAAAACAAACGCAGAATCAAAAAGAACTGTCGGAGGCCCGCGCGGATGTCTCGGATTGGCGCTTGAACCCCTCCCGGCGTCCAGGAAGGGGTACCCAGCGCCACTCACGCAGATCCGCGCGGAGGTCCGAAGGTCTGTGCTTCTGTTGTTTTTCTCGTTCTTTTAAGGAAGGGGGGGGAGGGAGGAGGTGAGGGGGGGGATAGGAAGGACTAGGAAAAGGGATGGGGGGTGATCAGAAAGCAGGCAGAAGGATAAAGACATGAGGCGTGAGGAGAGAATAGGCGAAGAAGAAAGGAAGGGTGAGAAGGATGAGGGAGAGATGGAGAAGGAGGTGCTAAGAAGGAGGGAGCATGAGGCGAGGATGAGGATTACGAAGAGTACGAATGATGGGGCAGGCATACGCGGATGGGAGGGAGGAAACGAAGTGCGAGTTTACGTGTATTGTAGCAGGAGGCGTCGGAGGAGGAGGAGGAACCGGACGTTCGGCGATGCGACGAGTTGATGGATGTGCGCGGCCGCTCGAGGTGTCCGACATCTCAAAGACGTTCGACCACTTCATCTCGTCCTACAGCTGGACCGCGAGCGGCCCGCTCTCTGTCGAGTTCGGAAGCAGGTCGAACTCTCAGAGGCCAGTCTCCTCCAGGCGCCTTCTGGGGCGGGAGGAAGCGCAGCTTACTTTCAACGCCTTCCTCTGTTCGTGTTTCTGCCCAGCTCTGCCGAGCGATGATTGCCGATGCCGTTGCCCCCTCCCTCGTTTTCGTCTGCCCGGGCCTCCCGCGGGACCCTCGTCGCCACGGCTGGGTTCGCCGCCGAGCTTCTCTACCAGATTGAAGCATATCTGTATCCCTGTGTTTGGCATCGCCTCGCCTCGATGCCGATCTTGAGGATCCCTTCAGTTTCTGAGGGCACATCTCCAAGCTTCGCCTCGCTATTTGCTCGCCCATCTTAGGGATAGGGATAAGTTCGAGGCTGGTTCTGTCCAAACACATGGTGGGAGAGGTCCGCGAATCGATACCTTGTTGTCCCCCCCCAGAGGAATCCCCGCGGCTGGAGGGATCCACGCGCACGAGGCGCGCCCCCAGCGGTCACAGCGCTGGCTCGCCAAGGCTTTTGGCGGGCAGTGTTCGCTCCTTTTCTGGGCACGTGTGCGAGCAGAAGTCGGGGGTTGATAGACCTCCTATTAATACCCTGACACGTCGATTAGGGAATTGGCCGTGTTCGGTTCGCGAGAGAGCGTCGCGGCCGTCATTCTTGCGGGTCCAGGTCCGTCGGTTTCGGTCCTAGGCCGTTGTCACTAAAGGGAGGCTTACTAAAGGGAGGTTTGTCCACCTCCGAAGGAGCTGGTCAGCTCCAAGGCTCGGCCGGCAGTGTTCGCTCTCTGTGGGCACGGGAGAGCAGGAGCTGCGGAGAGGAGGGCGACAGATGTTCTCTCGGGAGGCTAACAAAAACACGCATGGGCACAAGTCACCGGCGACTCCCAGGAGAAGATGGGGAAGCAGTGGAAGTGGTGGGGAAGAGGAGGGCAACAGGTGTTTCTTCGGTCGCAAATCGTGGGAGCCTGGTATACCCTCTGAATTCCGTCTTTCGCGTCGGTTAGCGTCGATTGGCGTTTGGGAGTCGATGAGACAGCACCAGCTTAGCGTCGGTCAGCGTCGATGTAATGTCGATGTATCGTCGATTAGTGTCGATTTAGCGTCGTCCAGCGTCGATTCGCAAGAGCCGACGAGCTCACACGAGTTGCCACCGACGTGTTTCTCCTTCCGATCAGACTGGGCTTCACATGTTGGAGCAGAAGCTCCCGGCCCGCCTCGCACACCAGACACAGACCGCGGCCACCAGGCCCTTCAGGGGCCTGGTGTGTTCCCTGCGGGTCCCGCCTTGGCGTCTCCGACGCGCAGGCCTCGGAAAACAATAGCGAACACGCATGCCCCACACTCGTCGGTCAACGCCTCCCCTCCCCCGATGCTGAAGGTTGGCGGTGGCTCTGATGAGCTGCACTCCGACCGCAGTCTACCCCCCCGCGCGTGCCAACTCTGGGCTCGGGGGAACGGGGGAGTGTCCACGAATTTCGCAGAAGAATCAACACAATAATCAGAAATGTTTGGTGCTCCGCGCGGATTTCTTGGATCCGCGCTGGGCCCCCCACGCGGCGCCTCCGGCGCCGCCCCTGGCGCGCTCCGCGCGCCAGGGAGGGGGGTCCAGCGCAGATCCAAGAAATCCGCGCGGAGCGCCAAGAGTTTATGTCTATGGCGTTGTTTCTTCTTCTATGCATACCGCGTCCGCCAGGCCCTACTGTGCCCAGTGCTTCCTGGGAGTCCCGACAGGAGGGAAAAAGGCTCACAGACACAATTGATCGTCGACTCCCAAGAGTATGGGAAAATATGGGAAGCGGGGGGGAAGATGAGAACCTAGAAAATATGGGAAAATGTTGGGTATCCTGGGGTTTGGGTGCATTTCGTTGCGGACTCCTTGCCTCTCCGTGCTCTAGGCTCCTCTCTCTGGCCTCGAGCCAGTGCCCCCCCCCCCACCCCAGCCAGGGGGGGCCTCCCTGGAGATTTGTGGGGCCTTCCAGTGAAGGGGCCCAGGGACACACACAAGTAAATAGACAAATCCCAGGACCCCCAATACTTTTCAACACCTTTGGGATTCTCGTCTCCCCCCCCCACTTCCCAGATGTTCCCACAGTTTCGAGGGAATCGACGATTCATGGTGTCGGTGTGGTTTCCCCCCCCCTGATCCAGGAGAGGTTTCAGCGGGGGGGCCCGACCTAGCGGCAGTCGGGCAGGCCTGCCTGGGCGGGGACACTGGTGTCCGCCCTTCCCCCTCCTCCGCCTCCTGCCGGCTCGCCTCCCGTCCCCCGCTGCCGCTGGGCCTGGGTCGAGCGCCGCGGCGTCGGAGGAGCCCGGGGGCGAGGAGGCCCCGCTCGCGTGGCGGGGGCACGTCGCCGCCTCGGGTGGCGCCTCTGCGCCGCTCGGGGGGCTTCTCCTCGCCGCGAGGGCGCGAGGGCGGAGATGCTCGCCGCCTGGGGGGCGTGGCGAGGGGCTGCCGGTCGAAGAAGAAGCAGAGGAAACGCCACGAGCATAAGCTGTTGGCGCTCCGCACGGAGTTGCTGGATCCGCGCCCGGCCCTGCTGGCGCGGCGCCTCCGGCTCCGCCTCCCTGTCGCGCTCCGCGCGCCAGGGAGGCGGGCCTGGGGCAGATACAAGGAATCCGTGCGGAGCGCCAAAAGTCAGGAGGGAGAAAAACACACAGACACAAGTAATCGCCGACTCCTAGAAAACGATGGGAAAGCACGGGAAGTGAGAGGGAAGACGAAAACCCAGAGAATATGGGAAAATATGGGAACACTTGGATTTGTGTGCATTTATATGTGTGTCCCTGGGCCCCTTCAGTCCAGCGTGCAATCCACGCGGAACGCAAAAAGTTTATGTTTATGGTTGTTGTTGTTCCTGCTTCTGCTCGGCCTGCGAGGCCCGACCGGATGCTGCTCACAGACAGCGGCAGGGCACCGGCTGCTCCTCCTGTCGGATGCCCCTCCTCCTCCTCCTCCTCCTCCTCCTCCTCCTCCTCCTCCTCCTCCCTCCTCCTCCTCCTCCTCCTCCTCCTCCTCCTCCTCCTCCTCCTCCTCCTCCTCCTCCTCCTCCTCCTCCTCCTCCTCCTCCTCCTCCTCCTCCTCCTGTCGGATGCAGCTCCCGCGAGGCCGAGTTCTGATCCTGCCCTGGTCCGAAGTCTGGCCCCGTCCCGCTTGATCCGGCTTACTCTCCCTTTCCTCCTCCTCCTCCTCCTCCTCCTCCTCCTCCTCCCTCCTCCTCCTTCTCCTGCTCCTCCTTCTCCTCCTCCTCCTCCGGCTTACTCCCGCCTGATCCGGCTTCATCCCGCTACATCCGCGGCCCCATCCAGCGCAGCAGCCCCCAAAACTGGGAGTAGCTTTCAGTCGGGCGTGTCCCTCTATTGGAGGAACATTCAACAATAGTCAAAATTAGTCAGGGGACGATGTTTCGACCATTCTTGATCTTGTTGGAATCTTGTTTGACTTTTTTTTATTTTTCGTCCCAGTGCGGCCTGTAGGGGGACATGCCCGACCTAACAGCAGTTGCCTCCCATCGTCCCGGGGGTGTTGCTGCCCGGCCTCTCTGCATCTGTGCCCGTCCGGCCGCTTCGTCCTGGCACCGCGCCCCTGCCCCTGTTCTCAAGGACGCTGCTGGTGGTGTACTACTGCCAGGCCCTCCGTCTGCCTCGGCGGGAGGACCGGGATGCGGGGGCGCGGGGAAGGTGCGGGCAACAGACAATAGAGACTGTTTTTGTTGTAGTCGGGCGATAACCGGGGTATCGGGCTGTCGGTTGTGCAGGGCCGCGGGAGGGGGGGGCGAGGGCATATGCAGGGTTGCCCACAGCGCGAGGGTTCGGTTATCGGCCGGTTCCCTCCTACCCCCCCCCGGGATAACCCGGGCGATGGCCGATTCCAGAACAAAAATGGTTTCATATTTACATCCATATCCAATGCGTTTTGGACGCTCTTGGCCAGGGCGCCTCCAGGCCGAGGCGCATTGGATATCGATGAGCATCGAGCCTCTTACGGGGCCAGATGCTTGTCCATATCCAGTGCGCCTCGGGGGTCTGGGGAGGGGAGGCCGAAACTCCAAGCTGCAGTGGACATGGGCACAAGTCCTGCCCGCGGACGGGGCAGGAGCAGGGCGGCCAGGTCTAGGTCTCCCAGACGGGGCCGGAGGATCGCGCCGCATCGCCCATGCATCGGCGATGCGGCTCGATGTGGGGCCCAATTTTCTCCACGCCGATGGCGCCGATGCATCGCCAATGCATCGCCGATGCATCGGCGATGTATCGCCGATGCGGCTCGATCCTCCGACCCCGTCCACTCGGACCCCGTCTAGGAGGCCTTTAGGAGGGGAGGGAAGGATTGGGAGCGCAGTCGAGACGCTGAAACAAGGACCACGTTTGGCTCGGAAGGGTGTTCGAGGCTCGGTCGCTTCGGCTGCGTCGCAGCAGGTCGCGTTTGATCGGGTCGGCTCGGTAGGTTCTCGTGTCATCGATGTGTCGCTGTGCCCTCCGAAGCTGCTCGCGGCCCATCACTCGGCTGTTCCAGGCGCCTCCGAGCCAGCAAGAGACGGCCAGGGGGCCTCAGGGATGTCGCTTCAGCATGCCCCGAGAGGGCCGTGGGAGGGGGCGGGGCATCGCTTGGACGTGTGCAGTTTTGTACGGCGAGGGCCCTCGAGGAGCATCCAGGGTCATCCATCTTGCGAAAGATACACTTTAGGCCACCCAGCTGGGCAAGCCTCACACGTTTCGCTTGAAAGCCCCAGTGGCTGCGTTCGCATGTCACTACCGCACCCGTTTCGGCACACCCCTTCCACGCTTCATGTCCCCATAGGGGGTTTCACCGAAAGCGGTACCCACAACGCGGTATTCACAACTGCGTATGGTTGGTTCTTTCGCAAGTTGGGCCGCAAGGGATCCGGTGCCTCTAGAAATGTCTCCGGAGGTCGCCTCGGGACCTCCGATCGTCCATTCATCGCAAATCGGTGCACAGTCGGCCTGGATTAGTAGGTCGACCCTGCCAGCTCAAGGGTACCCTTGTGTCCTGAGCTTTGCGACCCACGTCTTCTCACATTTCTATGGCAATGTCGCCCTCGGAAGGGTCGTGTGTCCTCTCGCGTGTACCCTCTAATCAATATTGACTGTATCGCCACTTGCATGTCAATGCTCCCACTCCTGAACCAGTCCCATCGCATCGATCCCCCTAACTTCAGGGAGCGAGCTCACCTGGATCATCTCACTTCCTTCTTCCGGGGTCTGTTCAGAGCAAGCTCCCTCCAGCCCTTACCTCTGCCCATATACCCCACTTGCACGTCCCCTCCACCCAGCTAAATTCAGGGGGGGGAAAAACACAGACACAATTCATCGTCGACTCCCCAGAAAATATGGGTTACGATGGGAAGTGGGGGGGAAGACGAAAATCCAAAAGATCTGGGAAAATATTGGGAACCCTTGGATTTGCGTCTGTTTGTTTGTGTGTCCCTGGGGCCCTTCATGGATGGCCAATGACCTCAAGCCGTCGCCGAGAAGCCCAGGCTGCGGGGGAGCTATGGCGGCGCGGGGGACGCGTCGAGCGGATGCGGGTATTCCGCCCACGTGGACCTGCGTCCGAGTCGGACCTGCCCGCTGATCTAACCGACCTGGGAACTTCGACTCTGGGATGCAGCTGGGAGGTAGATGTCAGCATGGGCGATCTCATCACCCAGCGTCATAACGCATCATGCCGCTGTGTCCAGCCCCCCCCTCCTTGTTGATGTGTTGGCGTACGCTTGAAAGCCCGGGCTCAATCCGTGTAGAGGGCCTCGACACCTGGATGTCTAGGGAGACCTCCCGGGAGACGTCTCCTCATACAGTGGGGGCGCACATCACGGAACCATCTGCTACTCGTCATCGTATCTTCGGTTTCTTCGCTCCGTTCGCTGCGTGGTGACTTCCAGCATCCGTTGAAGAAACTGCTGCATTCAGGGTGCTCCATGTTTCCCCTCAGGTGCACCTCGCGCGCGGGTGTTCAGAGTTGGGCTTCTTGCGAGGGTTTCTTGCGGCCGCGCCCGCACCGTACATCATCGAGCCGCGGCTCGAGCCTCAGCCGCATGCCCGCCGCGCGTGTCGCGAGGGGGGGGCCCGGGGGGCGCCGCCGAGCCCTCCTCCTCCTCCTCCTCCTGCTCCTCCTCCTCCTCCTCCTCCTCCTCCTCCCCTTTCTCCTCCTCCTCCTCCTCCTCCTCCCTCCTCCTCCTCCTCCTCCTCTTCCTCCTCCTCCTCCTCCCTCCTCCTCCTCCTCCTCCTCCGCCTCCCCCGGGTCCGGCGCCTGCCTGCCTGGCAGCAGGTCTGCCACGACTTGCCCTCGCTCCACGCGGTAGAGCTGGACCAGCAGGGCGAGACCTGGCAGAAGCCCACGTCAGGCCCGTCGTCTGTCAATCATCGGCTAACATTCAGAGGAGGAAAAGGTACCCATACCTCTGCCCTTCGCACGTTTTCCCCTTTGTGGGCCTCCTGGGAGGTCCTCGTTGCCACCGCTGGATTCGCCTCGAAATCCTGGTCAGAACGCACCCCAGGAGAAAACCGGGGAGTAGCGGTATCGGTACCTTTTGGTTTCCCAAAAGATAGGTCATGGTAATGAATGAGCGCGCGTTCTTACACCAGGCTATTGAAAAAACTCTGATTGACGAAAGCGAGAAACGGATTTCTTACATTGTGCCGCCTGGTCAAAACAAGCCAAAACATTTAGTAAACGCAAGAACTAGTTTACAACATTCAGAAACGAATTTTCTAAATCCGGGGCCGTTGTCCTAAATCCCAGATCCTATCATTACCATGACCTGAGTGGCTCGATCAGTCAAACAGTGGCGAAGCGTCCCGGCTTGCCTGTAGGCCCACCCAAGAATGTTTGAAGAACCTTGTGTGTGCTGCACGCAGTGTTTTGAGAACACTTCGGGCCGAGAATGCCTTGTTTTCCACGACGGGCTTATGTTCTAAGAAAATTGAGTTAGTGATTGGAATCTTTTGGTGTTCCAAGAACATGTCCTGGTAAGCCTATAGAAAAGCCGGGCCGGTCGGTCCCTGCTCAAGTCTGGCCCCTTCGCCCTCCGATGCTCGAAGAGAAAGCTCGGAGGAGGAAAATGGATACCCCTACCGTTGCCCCTCGCCCGCTTTCCCCTTGTCGGGGTTTCCTGGGAGGCCCTCGTCGCCGCTCGCGGATTCGCCCCGAAGATCCTGGTCAGAACGAGCCCCGGGAGAGGTCCGGGGAGTATCGTTAAGTCGGGCATGTCCCTCTACAGGAGGAGTGTTCAAACATAGTGTAAGAAAATAGCCTGGGGACGATTTTGTAAGTATTTTCGGATTTGTTGTTTGGATGATGTTTTGTTTAAATAGTTTTAATGTTTCGCCCAAAATCTGCCAGTAGGGGGACACACCTAAGAGTAGCGGTATCGGTACATTCTGGGTTCACCCGAAAAGGAATTGCATAAGCATGAGTTTGGTCGATTTCCCGACGGGTTCCTTGGCTCTGCTCTCTGGGCCCGTCGCCTGTCCCCTTCGCAGCCGCGCGCAGAGGGGGTTATAGGGGGAGGCGGGAAGGCTTCTTAGAAGCAGCCCTGCTTCCCAGAACCGATGAAAACAAAACATAAACTTTTGGCGCTCCGCGCGGATCTCTTGGATCCGCGCCTGGGCCCCCTGGCGGCGCCTCCGGCGGCGCCTCTGGCGCGCTCCGCGCGCCAGGGAGGGTTCAGCGCGAATCCGTGAAATCCGCGCGGAGCGCCACAAGTTCATGTCTATATGTTTTTGTGTTTTTCTGCAGAAGGCCCAAACCTTCTCTGCAGGTGCAGGGCCGGCGCCTTTCCAGAAGTGGCCTCCCTCTAAGAACCTTTCCCCCCGTCCCCCTCCGATGCTTCACCACCCCGCGAACCACGCCATTCCAACCCCAAACCACCAATCTAACCTCCATTTCCCAATGGGGGGGGCGGGCCCCCCCCCGAAGATTCGGGTTTTCGGGTTGGGTAGGGTTGGGATGGTCTGGTAGGTAGTTAATTTCCATCAGCGTTGCACTTTTCCTCCTCCTCCTCCTCGTCCTCCTCCTCCTCCCTTCCCTCCTCCTCCTCGTCCAGGTGGTTCAGAAGCAGACGAGCACACTCGCGCCGCCTACCGCACACACGGATACAATGTGAGGGCCACCCATGTTCTCAGACTGAGCCCGTGGCGGCAGTACTGCCCGATCTGTTTGGTTATGGACAGACCGTGTGGGATTCCGCGCGCACTACAGTACAAGCCTTGCGCGGTCAACGCATACGAGAGATTGTTGGACATTTTCACGGTTATCCCGAAGCTAGACGTGTCCGCGCTGATAGGCACGCAGGTCCGTTCGCATGGCACTATCGTGAATGATACGAGACACATTGAGCCGACTTGGAGCATCGAGTTCGGAAACCAACGAGAACGCATGGTAACCCCATCATGTGGGACCACGTTTGAACTTAAGCGATCGAGGTTTTCACGTGTTACATTAAAAAGCGTACACGACACACCGAAGAAATTATGGGGCAGATGTGCAGCGATTGCCGTGCAGAGCGGCGAAGTGCCTTATGGGTTTATCGGCCTGTACTCTCCGCCAGGACAAACATCCCGATAATCATGCCCAGGATGCGAACAGACAGTGGCAACAGTTGTACAGTGGTTGGAACAAGTTATGAATTCTATGGCAACGCGCAGGACGATTCCGCTCATGCTTACTGATTTGAGTGGCGCTCTACTTCAAGATGGTAACGATCGAGTGGCTGGTCCTCATGCGAAGGGGAAGGGGTCTCTGTCGACGAAGCTCCTGCGTCCATGATATGTGGATGGGAACTTTGTGCAGCCAACACTTGTTCTGCAATCCGCCATCTTATATAGGTATCCGAAGTGTTTTTTTCACACCGCCACATTATCGTACCGAATGAATAATTAAAGCTGTGGGGAGATGTCATGTGTCATGGCACGCTGGGCGAAACTTACAACTACATGAAACCCACCAAGTACTTGACCCCAGGCCAGTACACATCGCCGTGTTCGTCAACTAGTGCAAGCGACCTCTGCCTGAACGCAACCCTCGACCTAATCGAGAAACCCGGTTCTGCTGCCTTCAACAATGATACAAGCGGCAAGAGTTATTCGACGAGATGGAACGCTTCATGCAATAGCATATGATGTACACAACGAGGTTGAACGATCTGAAGACGGTTGCCGAATGAATCAAGAGTGCGCTGATCTAGCAAACACAGCGCTTGTAACAACTTTGGGTAAGAGCCCATTAAGATCGACAGCAACAGCTACATGAGTTATCAGGCTTACTCCAAGTTCGTCGAGGGTTAGCACACATGCGAACTGACCCAGCATATGACATGCAGTGCCAGTACACATCCACATTGGTTGGTGCTCTGGGCAAGACACTGAAGACATCTGCAGGGAAGTATTGGGGGCAAGTTACAGAGCAACGAGTTCAAGGACTCAGCGACTTCACGAAGCTGAACAACGGCTACTTGGCGCAGCGCATGGCGAATTTTGTAGCAGGAAAACGACGAGGACCTCGCCAGCGTAAGTCCGCCGGTATTTCAATTTCCCCCGCACCTGCGAAAGGGTGGAGTGAGCGAATGAAGCTGCCAGCGGAAAAAAAGGAGGATGTTCAGCAGTTGAGATCGACATCCAAGACATCAAGAATGATACCTCCCAAGAACAACGCGATGGTGCTGATGGCGGTCAGTATTTTGAATTGGCTGCTGAAGATTGGGATGGGATGGCTAACTAATTTTGGGGAATGAAGTTATGGCGATTATCGTCCGGCTTGGAGCATCCCAGCTGACGCGTTGCGCTTGACATTTGCTCCACACTGGGTGAACCCAAGAAGATCTGCAGCGACCGTGGGAAGTGGGTTCTCGCGAGATGAATATCGACACCCGAACGTTGCCCGAGGCTTATTCTGAGTTGTTTTATTTATGGCACGGAAGCACAACCGACCCTGGCCATCTGACACGCGGCACACGCTGTTCGACTGCCACAAGGAAAGCAGACATTGGACGTGGACGGAGAGAGCATCATTATGATATTGTGCACAGTTGGAAGGATGTTCCACGCCGCGGCTCTGCATGGAAAAAAAAGGCTGCTTGGGCGCCCGGCGATTGGATGCAAGGTGGGCTGAGGCGGAGACGAGGTCAATCCGCCATGGGTTTCCAGCTCATCTCGTCGCATCGGCTCCAAGCGGCTGGGATATCCCACCTTTTGTGTTGCCATGGCGCAGCGAATGCGTTCCGCAGTTTGATGCGCGCCGAGGTCGCAAGAATCTTGCCTACGTTGCATGGGCATGTAAATTTGCACAGGGCATTGTCCTATTGGAGGACGAATCTGGGAGATTGGATGACGTCAGGAGTTTTTTATTTGTTTTTCATTTCAGGAGATGCAGGGGCTACGTTAATATCTGCTCGAACTTGTTCCCCGCCTGTGATCGAGGCCATTGCCGGCGCGCGCGCGCTCGAGAGTCGGCGCAGGGCTTTGGAGGTAGACGCCCCCAGGGACTCAGAGGACCTCCGGCAGATGGCCCCCGCTGGGTTTGCAGATGACATCGCCGGCGCAAATTTTGAAGCCAACATGTTTGGTGCCACCCTGGGCAAGCTTGAACTCGGAAGCTGATTCGAAAACATCTCAGTCGACAAATGGATGATCAAAATCAAGGCTTCGCAGCATCTCTCTGAACAAGGAAGCGCTGCACGCATTCGAGGGGGAGGCGCGCGCGCAGCATCTAGACTCATACAAAGGGAGCGCACGCACATCGCAGGAAATGCCCTACATCATGTTCGATATCTTGGAGGACTTCAGAGTACTACCTTCACTCCTGTTCCTGAACTAAGAAAGCGACTCAAGGCCCTACAAGCGGCTTGCTACTCCATGGGGCGATATTGGACTATTCCTGGCGTCAAGTTCTGCGCGAAGAAGTCCAAGTTCAAATGGTTGCTGATCAACGCGGCCCTCAGCGGCCTATGGGGTACGAGTCAATGGAACTGATCCTATCTCGGGCAGCGACCTGACCGGGCTCGAAGCCTTCATCGCGCGCAAAGGCCGTGCGTTATCAGGTGGCACAGCAGAGTGGCAGGAGGCGTCTGAACACCTTGCGACGAGCAGCGCTTGTGAAGCGTTGCGCCTCGTTGGCGACGGCGCGCTATTTCTCGAACCCAGGACTCGCAGGCTGAAGCGGCTGCAGCGCATGGTGCAGGAGCGAGACAAACATCGTCAGTTCTTGGCCACTTTCCCTGGGCGGGCGCTCGTGGACGGAGCTCTCTTTCTCTGAGAGGGCGGTGCTATACATGCGCATGCCCATCCTTGGGCGCGCCAACTTGAACCAGATATGGTTGCCTTAAATCGATTCTGGGGATGGCGCGTG